GCCCTGAACAACATCCTATGGCTAGAACATCTACAGTGTTATTACATGTTGTGGGAAAAAGTATTTACTTAGTTTTGAATTTGTGCCCTTTCAGTTTTGTTGGTTGTCTCCTTTTGTTACCAGGAAGGGAGAACAGACATTCTTGACCTTCCCTCTTGGCATTTCTAATGAACTCCATTTAATGTTTACTAATATTTCATTTTTAGAGTGCATACAAGGATGGAATCTTGATTATATTTTCTTGCTTGCTTCAAGAAAGAAAAGGAATTTGTTACTAGTCTGCTCTGTGGCACTGGCTATATTTTTAGGAAGTGAAAGTTTTATCGTTACTGCTGAATCACTTCTTTGGGCTGGGAGTTAAGCAGGTATATAGGGTCTTTTACCCTAATACCTACAGACCTTAGGTTCACAGGGCACAACCAGAAAAATACTTCTCGCCTTGCATAAACACACAGTTGATGTGAAAAACTAGCTTGCAGAATATAGCATCCTCTTTGGTAGGAGTATAGTATCTGGACTTTTTTTTTTTTGCCTTCCTCAGAAGCATAGGGTGTTGCCCACAGCCAAAGCTGTTCATTTTGACTAGGGCATGCAGATGCTTCTGTTGGGACTTAAACCCAGAGGCTCCTGTCTAGAGGGTCCTGCTCCTTGACTTCAGGTCAGATTGATTGCCTCATTTGAGATCAGGAAGGAATTTTACGCCATGTTCAGATTGGTATGAAGCATGGGGGTTGTACCCTGCTCTGTAGTGGAAAGGATTTGGAGCATGGTCCTTTTCCCTGGTTCTCTTGAGTGTATTTTACTACTTCTTGTTCTTGCCATGTCAGAACATTGACCATGCCCTCTTCATTTGGCTTTACCTATAGCACATAAAAGGATATTTTTGATGTTTCAAACATTAGGCCTAGTAATTGTATATGAGAGTTGCTCCCATTGTTTTTAATAATAGGTTAGCCATGTCATCCACCCGTGGGGCTCCCCATAGGTCCAGAAATTTAGCAGTAGGGTTACACTGGGGTGGGCCATGGCCAGATCTAGTGCACGGGCACAGCCGGTAGCTAGATCTGATGTGCAGGGCAAACCAGCATGCCAGGTTGCCCCCATGGACTGGGTTAGTCTGTAGGGGCAACCTGGCATGCTGGCCTGACCTGCACATCAGATCTACACACCAACCACATACACCAACCCCACCTGTGGAATCCAGCCTTCAAACTGGCCCCATGGCACTCACCTACCCCTCTTTCTTCTTTTCGTGTCCATGTCATTAAACTAGATGTTTTTCCTGAATCGTGCACAAGCAATAACTTTCCATTGCTACTGTGAGGTCCGTCTTCACATAGGACTCACCAAGGAGTCAGCAAACAAGCAGGTGCTTTTTAGTCTGCAGTTCACTGCACTTGCATGTATTCGTGTCATTAGAGTAGCCCCATTTGATCCTGTTTGTTTTTGATCTTCCAGTTTGCATGCACAGGTGATTCAGGCATTACCATGTTGGCCAGTCTAGATCAGCTTCTCTGAGAAGGTCATCCTGGGCCTCCAGGTCCATTTCAGAGCACCTGAGTGTGCATAGCCTTTCCTTCCATAACCTTAGTCGTGCCCTGTCAGCTATCATGTCCAACAGTGCAACACTGGTCACCAAACTCTTTCACATGTGACCACAGAGTGGATGCCTGGGGTATTCCATCTGCCTTGATCCTTTCTTCTGATATGAGGTGGTGCAATGCCATCCAGTAAGTACAGGCTGTCCTTCAGTGTTGGCTTTAGACATCCTATGACAGCTGTCATTTAGAACTGGGCCTAGCTTCTTGCCATGAAGTGATTGTTCCCATAGTGGCCATGCATATTCTGCAGTGGAGTAAAACAGGGTAATAGCAGTGTTCATAATATAGCTGGATTCACTCCCCACTTTGAGGTGACCAGCTTTCAAAATATATTGTTGTAGGTGCTTACTTTCCCTTTCATCTTCTCTATATGTGGTTTGAAGGTAAGTGTTCAGTCCAGTGTAACCCCCAAGTACATAGGGTTCAGCTGATTAGTCAGTGGGATTCCATCCCAGGTGATGTTTAATTTCCACTTGACTTCTCCATGGTTTAGGTGAAAAGGTATGATCTGGGTCTTGGTTGGTTTGGTGGGAAACTTGTTCTTATTGTAGTAATCTGAGAGGTTGCTCAGTGCACATGTTAGTCTGTTCTCAACAATAGTGAAGTCCTTTTCTTGCAACGTGTTCATTAGCATATATGACACTCCTCATATTACTCTGTATGAGTTGGGCATTGGTATATATGTTAAAAAGGATTGTTGCTAGCATGCCACCAGGTGAGAGGCCATTTTGTTGTCATCTCCAGTGGCTCCATTTCTTCCACAGTTCTATGTAAAAATGTCTGGTCTCCAAACGAAATTGGATGAGCTGCACTAAGTGGTAGTCATATGTCATACTGTAGAATTTGGCAAGCATGTTTCGGTGGTTGTCTGTCATATGCCACTGATAGGTCTACAAACACAACACCTGTTATCCCTTTCTTGAATCCATCTTCTATATGCTGGGTGATGGCCAGTGGAGGACCTGCCTAGTCTGAATCTGACTTGTTCTGGTATTAGATGTTGTTCAATATGAGGTGAAAGACAATTGAGAATAAGGCATTTGTAAAGTTTATAAAGAAAGCACAGAAGTGACACAGCCTAAATTTCTCTGGGCCAGAGGCATCTTTCCCTGGATTTAATAGAGTATTACACAGATACTTGCCATAGTGTAGAGATTCTAAAGGTTGATAAGCAATTGTTAAAAAGGTGTAATACACATAACTTTGTTGAGGGACCAGAGTGCTTGATCTGCTCTTTGCATATGCCATTGAGTCCAGCTGATTTGCCATTCTTCAAGTGATTTATTCCTGCATCAAGTTAATCTATTGTAGGTGACATGCTAAATTGATTTTCCTCTGGATCAGTTTGCTGTCTAACCGTATTTTAGGCTGTTCAAATCTTTACTGTTGAGTAGAAGCTGGTGAGCTACCTGGGTGGCTGTGTTGTTGTGATATTGCTGTACTTTCTTCAGGTCGTTACTCAGCTTGCAAATGGTTGTTAAGCATGCTTTCCTGTTAGTGTGGGTAGTATCTGTTCCTTTGATCAATTCTTTCCATTTCCATTGCCTTTCTTCTTGGAGCTTGTTAGTTAGGGCTGTCCCTGCCACAATAGTGTCTTCTGAGAGAGGATCTATTTGAAACATTTACTGGTATTTTTTTCTATTTAGCTGCTAGCATGGGAGTAAATCCTGGTATATACCTCTTGGAGGTTTTGCTCAGTGGATTCACGAAAAGGTCATAGTTATCTAAGACTGGTTTGATATGTGTCATCTTTTTGTCAAGGTGTTCAGAAAAGCCTCTCCAGTCTGCTTTCTTAAAGTTGAAGCATCTGTGCATTGGTACCATATTTGGAGCTCCAACTACCATAACAGGCATAACAGAAGCACTCACATCATGGCCCCTGTCAGATTTCAATGAATCTGCTAAATTCCACTAAATACCATATCATCACCAATCTATCACTAGTTTACAATGGTTCTTATAGGGATGATTCTTCCTTGAGAAGGGAATTGGATTAGATGACCTCCTGAGGTCTCTTCAAGCCTGACTTTTTGATGGTCTGTGATTTCTATGATTCTGTGATCATGTGTTTATTGCCTTTCTCTGAGGCAGGGGCTACTGCTTGGAAACAAGTTCTACCCACTTCCTGTCATGGCAGGTGTATCCTAGCTAGAAGTTAGGGGAAATAATAGGCTCAGAGGTACCTTGAGCACCTGCCCCAGTGCTGGTCTCAGGTTCTCCCATGACAGAGACTAACCGAGGTATCAGACCATACCCTCAGTACCCATCTGAGCTATTGGCTCTGCCTAATTGCTGGGGATGGGCCATATGAAGCAGGAGTGAGAAGATGGAGATTATTTCTCAGTGGTGTTTTTAGGCCCAACAGAGAGGTGGTATAAATATGACCAACAAGACTAAGGCCAAGTACAGACAGTCAAAAAGCCTGAGGCTGAATTGATTCAGTCTTTGCAGGTTAGTCTAAGCTTGCAGAGATTAAACTGACAAACAAGTGAACAGACTTTTGATTCAGGAAATGTAGCCATGTGTCTGCAGTGGCTCAAGCCAGAAGCTGGGAGGTGCCAGAGCACACCTTACAGCCACCGTTAAAGGGAAGAAAGGATTCCTCTATCGCTTTCCCCACCCTCCCTGCTGGAGTATAAGGGGCATTGCCAGGCCCCAGCCCATACTCTGCCTGGGCTTTCTTTTCATGCTGCCCCTGAGGTCTCTGGGGTTTGCAGTCCAAAATTAAAGCAGCAGGACTCTGCAGGGTTTCTCATCAATTCCTCTTCCTGCTTCCAAGTGCCTCTGGGATTTGTAGTCCATGGTCGCAGCTAGCAGAATGGAGAGCAGGAGATGTGGCCAGCACACTGAGCCCCACTGCCTGGCCCCAGACCCTAGACCCCAGCTGGGGTTTGCCTGGGTGAGGCAGTAAGCCAGCCAGTGAGGCCAGTAAACCAGCCCTCACTGCTAAGGCTAGGGAGTAGAGAGGCGTGGCTAGCCCTGCTCTCTGGAGCAGACAGCACAGCCCAGCTCAGGGCTGAAAAGCATGCTGGGGCATTGTGATTTAACTTGAACCAGGAAGGGGTCTGGGGCAGAAGTTTCATAAACCAGTTTGACAAATCAGTTAAGTCTGTATTCAACCAGGTTTACCTTAAACCTGTTTTGGCTGTTTTGAAACTTGTTTATGTGTACCTAACTTCTGTTCTGTTACAGGTTTAAACCAGTTTTTGATGACTTAAACTGGTTTATATGTAACTTCTGTCCCTAGCCCTCGAGACTGATCTCTGCTGGGAAAAATCTTGTCCTCAGCAAATTCTTTTAAATAAATTTATAATCATGTTGTTAAAGTATTTCAATTCTATGCATGTACAGTGGCTCCATGATTTGTTTACTGTGCTTATTTGTTTACTTTTTCTTTAGATTTGAAGATGGGACAGTTTCCTTTCTTGATATCATTGCACTGAAACATGGATTTGATGCTTTGGAAAGACTTACAGGTCAGTCTCAAATGTGACCAGCACAGAAAGTGATTTTCCAAATTAATTTGTAAGGCATATCTTGTATCTGATCTTATTTTATGCTCCTGTAATTTAATTCACAAAGATAGATTTGTCCTACTGTTTCCTAGTCTGAGACCAGGACCACATGAGTGACTGGGTATATTCAATTTTAGCAGATAAGATTTTTTTCAAGTCACTGTGGGTCACCTGTAGTAAACAAAAAATATCTGTGGACTTTTTCCTAAATACACATGTAAAGTCTTGAGCTGCTCAAACATGTGAAACTTACACTACATGCATAGACACAAAAATGTAGAAAAAATATTGGTCATAATTAGCTGAGCTGACTTCAATTGTAGTATCAGCAATAAGGTTTTCTAGTGCACTTAAAGACCGAAAGGTGTTTGCCCTGATGCAGAAGAGCTTTTTGTGAGATGGGAAAGCTAATCATGTGGGAACCAGTAAAAGCAATTCAGTGAAGTCCCCAACACTGCTTGGTATATAGTAAGTATTGTTCTATTATCTATCTAGAAACTTCCCAAATGAGTTTTACTTTTTACAACAGAATAGATTGCCTCATTGTGGTGTATTTTAATGGAAGTATTGTGAAAAATATCTTGTGCTTCTACTCTTTTTATATAGCCTTTTTCCTGGGCAGTTATATATCTTATGAAAAAAAACATAACCACATGATTGTAAACCCACTGTGAAAATAATTCAAGGGTTTGAGTACTAGTCATCTCTTAACTAATCACTTCTTGGATTGTAAAAAGCAGGATCTGGGAGAGGTATTAGTGAATTCAGAGCTATGAAAAGCTTCCTTGGCTGACATGATTTAAAACTGATCTGATGAGTGAATTGTCTCATTTTGATTTTTTCATAAATACTTATATAATTCAAATGTGCATCCCTTCATAATAAGATGGTTTGGGTTTGGGTTTTTTTATTATTGAAGCCTTGTCTTACCCAACTAGTGACATGCTTCTACTGCTGGGATGAAAAACATATTTTCCACTTTACTGAGATGTTCACTATATGCAAAGAAATTATGCACCTACATGGTGATAGCACACAATTCAGTAAAATGAAAAGTATTTTCAACTTCTGCTGAAAACTAGCACTCAGCTATATTCATATAATCTATGACACAATATTTACTTTTAACCACTGCTTTCATAGTTGGTAGGGTTGGAAGGGACCTAAGCAGATCATCTACTCCGACCCCCTGCCATGGCAGGAAAGGAGGCTGGGGTTAAATGATTCCTACCACCCTGATTCTGGGGGACTGTCACATAAAAAGACACATATGTAAATGGCACTATTTGATTTATGGAATGAGAGTTCTCCTAGCCCTCAAACTCAGAAAGCCTTTGCAGAGAATGTACATTAGAAAGCAGGTCACATTTGTGCATTGCTCCTTTCTGCAGGAGGTATGCGCTTTTAGGGAGCCTGAAGAGCTCCTAATAGAGGTATGAATAGGACTGCCAGAAAATGCTGGAACCTTCAGATCCTTTTCAGAGCTCATTGTCTGAGCCCCTATGAAATATTTAGCAAAAATTAAAGTTGCACTACCTTGTAGAAAAAGTGTGAGTATATAGTATCAGAACTACTAGCTCCTTGTTAAGTTGGTGCAAGGGGTATTGTTGACTCTAGGGTATTTAATATGTCTTTGTTTATATTAACTGCATCCTATCAGGCCTAGTATTACAACCCTAAGAGCATCTGTTTTTGCAATTAGGTTAGTGGCCTATTTGGAAAATTCATAAGATTACATATAGGGAGTGATCTTCCTATTGAGCACATATATGAGAAAGCTCTTTTGTATTGTTTATTTGCACACAAAGAATACACTGACCTCATGAAACTGGCTTTTTGCTTGCTAGTTGCACACACCAGTATGTGCATAGCTGTCATGAAACATTTGAACCTCAGCCTTTTGTCCAACTTAGTTTGTTATTTTCAAGCACAGATGCATCAAACAC